GATTTTTCCATCGCGCCTACGAAGGAAATAGTTACAATGGATATGCTCAGCACGGATCAAATCGAAAAGCTTGCCCGACTGAACGTTAAGACACTTCCCAAAGTAACAAAGCTGATGCAGACCCTTAATGCAAAGCACAAGTATGTTCTCCACTACTTGACCCTCATTCTATATGTTCAACTTGGAATAGAAGTCAAACAAATTCATCGAGTGCTACAATTTAAGCAAGCAAAATGGTTGGCTCCTTTTGTTCAGCTCAATACCGAACTCAGAAGAAACGCACTAAACAAGTTCCAGCAGGACTTCCACAAAAACCAAGTAAACTCTGCATTCGGAAAAACTATGGAGTCTATGCTGAATAGGAAGAAAGTTGAAATGGTAACAACCGAAATGGAGCTTCTAGAAAAAACATCTAAGAGCAATATGAAGTCGTTCTAAACAATCGATGATCAAATTCCCACGATATCATTAGAGGTTTCAAGCGTGAAGTGGACTAAGCCAACCTTGGTGGGGGCAGTAATTTTTGACCTCGCAAAGAGTTAATGTTTGAGTTTCATTACACAAAAATGAAACCAAACCTCGAAATAGAATTACTATATAGCGATACCGATAGCTTCATATATGCGGTGAAAACCGAAGAAATATATGAAGACTTCAAATTTTTTCAATCAGACTTCGACTTTTCCAACTACCCCTCAGATCACCCGCTGTATAGTGAGGAAAACAAAAAAGTCGTTTTGAAAATGAAAGACGAGATGGGAGGAAACTTTTATGGGGGAATAATGGAGAATTATCCACTACCACTAAAAGATGAAAAACTTTTGCCACAAATACTGATGACTAGCCAGGATTCTCAATTGGGATACGTTGTGAAATGCGATCGCGAAATACCTGAAGATTTGCATGGATACTTTCAAGATTTTTCCATCGCGCCTACGAAGGAAATAGTTACAATGGATATGCTCAGCACGGATCAAATCAAAAAGCTTGCCCGACTGAACGCTAAGACACTTCCCAAAGTACCAAAGCTGATGCAGACCCTTAATCCGAAGCACAAGTATGTTCTCCACTACTTGACCCTCATTCTATAAGTTCAACTTGGATTCGGAAAAACTATATGTTCACAAGTAAACTCTGCATTCGGAAAAACTATGGAGTCTATGCTGAATAGGAAGAAAGTTGAAATTGTAACAACCGAAATGGAGCTTCTAGAAAAAATATCTAAGAGCAATATGAAGTCGTTCTGAATAATCGATGATCAAATTCCCACGATATCATTAGAGGTTTCAAGCGTGAAGTGGATTAAGCCAACCTTGGTGGGGGCAGTAATTTTTGACCTCGCAAAGAGTACATGTTTGAGTTTCATTACACAAAAATGAAACCAAACCTCGAAATAGAATTACTATATAGCGATACCGATAGCTTCATATATGCGGTGAAAACCGAAGAAATATATGAAGACTTCAAATTTTTTCAATCAGACTTCGACTTTTCCAACTACCCCTCAGATCACCTGCTGTATAGTGAGGAAAACAAAAAAGTCGTTTTGAAAATGAAAGACGAGATGGGAGGAAAAATTGTGGAGGAATTTGTAGCCCTGAAGCCAAAACTCTACTCCATACTGGACAAGGGTGAGATGATTGTTTTTTAAAAAGAATAGTTTCTTGTCTAGTTCCCGCCTTACAAGATTTGTTCTATGAAGCTCCCGCAAGAAGAAAAAAAACACCCGAATACTTTCAGTACCCACTATTAATAATTGTTGTCTTGTTTAGATCTGAACCAAAAAGTTTCGGCAAAAGGAATTACAAAATTCGCGCTGAGAAAACTACTTCATGCCCGATTCAAAGAATGCCTGTTCGAAAAAAAGACGCTGCGTGTGAATAATTATACGATAAAATCGATTAAACATGAGATACAGACTGTTATAACTAACAAAATTTCACTCTCGCCTTTCGATGGGAAGCGTTTCCTTCTCTTCGATGCAGTTTCAACTCTTCCTTTCGGTCATTGCAAGATTTCTGAAGATTTCTCAAGTTTCTTCTTCGATATTATAGATAACAGTTTAAAGGAAACTGAAAGTGAAATAAGCACTGAATCTTCCGTTTCGTCGATTGAGAAAAGCATGCTCGATTTTGTAATACGGAATCCAGGCTTTAACCAGCCTCAGTACAGTCCCGAAAAAATGAGAGCATGTACGTCAAATTACTTTCGAGGACAGCGCGCATACCCAAAGAACCCTTTTATAATATCTGAAGCAACTGAAAGTAGAACAGTTGAAGAAAGTGACTCTAGTGATATGAATTCGTCCCCGGAAACTGTGCAAGCGAAGAAAATTTTCAAATAAAAGAGACTGTTTACCATTGCTAAACTGTTTGGCTACTTTTAATTTAAGCTTGTTCGCATTTTATAAAATTGTTTGTTCTGCAATAATCTTTTATATGATTAACTTCTTTCTTTAACAGCTAAGCTGAAATGTTTGTAATAACGTGATTTGAAAACAATGGGAGGAAATTCACTCTAACATTTATATAGCCTTAAAGGTTTCTACTACTACCTTTTTATTATTCGAAGTTACCTTTTTTTATTTAAAGTTTCGCATTATTTGAAGTTTCGCTTTTTTTCCATTGAAACTTCCATTCCCCGTTCAAAAAAAGACACAGTACCGTTCCTCCCCGGTTTGGAACTTGAATTTTTTTGTATGGTTGAAAAATCTCTAAATTGTATGAGTTAATTATCAATATCTTCAATACACCAATCTCCCTCTTAGTTCAATTTTCTCATTTCAAAATTTGACAAAAGTATCATTTGCTAAATTTTGCCCACAAACGGCCGCCGCCTTTAGAGAGTTATTTCAATTTACTGCCTTTTCAACATAAAATATAGCACAAAATGGGGAAATAGTTCACTGCTGCCAACAACTAAGCTACGCTGCCAAGTTTGCCTGCAACTTTTTGTTATATACCGTGAAAGTCAATTCCCCGTTCGCTCACCAATTTCAACAAGGTCGAAAGTTCATTGGCCCGAAACAATCATAACAAATAATATGATTCAAATAACTAAACAATAATATAGTCATTTCATAGCACTTAGGATTTAATACATGTAGTTTTATTTTCCCCTTTGGAGTGCCGCTGTGGTTTGAAAAATTTGTTTGGAGCCCCTATGTGGTTTTGGAATTAGGATCTGGAGCACCGAGAAATTTTGTCTGGAGCGCCCATGTGGTTTTGGGATAAGGCTCTGGAGCACCCCTGTGTAGGTACCCCCCCCCCCCCCCCTGTTGGAGAGCCGGCGAATTACCTTACTACTGGAGCAGTATTAACATGAAAAGTTTAAATGTCAAAAAATCGATGCAATTTTTTTACTTTGTAATTTTTTTGTTAAAATGATCATTCCATACACCATATAAAATACAAAAAGATCAAACTCGGTCGTATTAATGAATCAATTATGGTAAATGAGCTTCCTTCAACCAATTTGGAACGATTTCTAAGACGGATTTAACCTCCGAAACTGGCCAAATTAGCAAAACCCACCCTGAGCATAAATATTCCATTACTTTCGTTACGAAAGTCCAAACAAAAGACTGTTGGCATCAAGTTGAAGCCCTGAATGTTCAGACTACTCTCAAAAATTGTTGCCCTTAAAAACTTGATAAAATTTTCAGAAAAAAGGAAACAAATTTTTTTTTTAAAATTGAAGTGTTTTGAAAATCCCCTCCCCAATCGCTTAGTAAATTACAAATTGATGTATTTCTCATTTAGCAAAATAACAAATGGCATCCCTTGTTGTTCCGATCTTCGAAATGAAAGTAGCGGAATGTTTGTGCTCGGGGTGGGTTCTTTTTCTTAGACAAATTTCGACTTTTATATCATTCGAAAGGTATTGTTGTCTTGAGCTTAAATTTGAAAAGATAAGTCAGCTGTGATCGTTTTTCGTAATTTTATGGGGGTTTAAATATTGCCATTTCGGCCAATTTGGGACAATTAACGTGCGATATATATTAACGCGTAAGCGGAGAGTTAACCCGTCTTAGAAATTGTTCCAAATTAGTTGAAAGAAGCTGATTTGCCATAATTGATTTGGTACAAGGAGCAAAATTTATCCTTTTGTACTTTCATGGCGTGTGGGGGGATGATTTTCATTAAAAAAACTTAAAAGTTTGGAAAAAATAATTCCATCCTTTATCCCAAATTGGCCAAATTGGGTATCTTCAAATCCTGATAACTTAACAAAAAAAAGAATCACAGGTAAAATATCTTTTTAACTTTGAGCACGAGACAGTAATACTTTTTTCATGATATAAAACTTTTTCATCAAAAATTGCTTGTTAAAAAGTCGAAAAGTCGGACCAGAAATCAAGAAAAAGAATCAGAACAAAGAAATTAACAAGACGTCTCGTATATCAGAAGCGAAGCCCTGAATTTTTTGACTGAAAAATGTTTTTTGGTTGAAAAATTGACAAAATAATCGAAAGAAAAAAGCATTTTCATGTTTAATGTTTTTCTTCTTTTCACACTTGTGGTTGAAACTTTTTTGCTAAAAACCAATTTTCAATGAAGTTGATGAAATTAACACCACCCTAAGTTTAGATTTTCCTCAGTTTCTTTTCTTCGAACATCGGGAAAACAAAGAATTTGGAAAGATTTCGATAATTTATTTATTCAGTAAAAGCCATTCCAATACACCTAATTAACTTGGAAACTGTTCTTCAACAACTATGGATTGTTTTTAGCAGTATTCCAAATCGCCACATAATTTTGCAAACTTTTCTTGCTGAAAACAACAAAAATTGGTAAGCAAATTTTGTTCGATTTATAAAAAAGGCCAGCAAATTTTCTATTTAAACCGTGAAACATATCAAAAATTCACGAATTTTTGGGGGTAATAAAAACACCGTAAAGCTAACCAAAAAATTTTTTTTCTAAGTCTATAACTATATGGAATTGTATTTAAATCACATGATACAGTTCTTCTTGGCAAAACTAATTCCTTTTTTTTAGTATACAACGCATGAAAAAGAACTGATTTTGCGAGTGAGAGAGCAATGAGCGAAGAGCATTTTTATGTCAACCCTCAATTTGACGCTCTTCCAGACCCTCGCCAAGAGGAGGCAACCAGTGACACAGGTACGAAAACAATAATTAATAAAAAAACAAAAAGAAACAAGTGCTGTCAATAAATAGACAATACTTTACTGCAAAAACTAATCAAAACTTAAAATTAACCCGGCCAGGGACTTTACAGAGTTACTTTGCTGTGTAAACGGATTCCGCAACATGCCGAAAACAAATTTGTCTAGGAACTCGCAAAATTGCTAATTAATTTCTTATTTTCTTTGCTGTTTTGGATTCCACGAACAAATAGCTAAAACACTGCATTGCTCAAAATTGCTCCAACAACAGGCAAATTTGCGGAATCTGCAATAAAATTTGCGGAATCCGCAACAAAACTTGCGGAATCCGCAGCAAAATTTGCGGAGTCCGGATTAGTTGTTGAGTCCACAAACAAATAATTGTCTTAGCGTTTAGTAAAATTACACTGTCGTGGAATCCGCAACTCTAGATCGAATCTGCAAAATTGAAGTAATTTGCCAAAATGTGAGTGGAATCCCCAAAGAGAAAGTGAAAGCGCAAAATAAAATCAAAGTTACCGCTTTTATTTGCGGAACCCGCCTACATTGCGGATTCCGGAACAAATTGTTATTTTCTTTCGTTTCTTTCGTTACTCGTATTTGAGCGCGGAATCCTGGGAAATTTTGAGAGCGGAATCCTGATACATTTTGCAACAACCTTGATGTCCATAGAAGAAAACTGCCTATCATACAGCTCATATATAAGGGCTATGGAAAAAAAGTTTATCATAGAAAATTGATTTAAAAAAACTAAAAAGGTTTTCAAAAAATTTTAATGAACATTTTTGGTCTAATTGCCTCTTTTGAATCTTTCTGGTCATTAAAAAATGCGTATCATACCTTTTTCACGTATGATAATCATCAAAAAATGTCAAAAAACGTGTCTAGATAACTTTAAATAGATTTAGATAACTATATCTATGCTAGAGGGCAGTTTGACAATCAAAAACATAATTTCAATTTCGGCCAGAAAAATGCTTTTCATAAAGTTTTTATACATCAAAATTGTATGATATGCGTTTTTTTTTCATAAACAAAAACAAAAACTTGAGGTAAAAAAATTGTGATCCTTTTTTTGGTTGCAATTTTGCTTTTGCGCTAAAATATAAATTTTACGAAAAAAAAATGTGCATGCAAACTTTGAGTTTTTGTGTTTATAACGTTGTCCAGGATGAGTTTTTCAACCAAAAAATTCGAAAATCAAAAGAAATTGTATTTTTTATAAACACGATTACGATTTTTTGTTTCATTTTCTAAGATTAAGAAAATTGTATAAAAAGAAGCCTTTTTTTCTCAACTACCAAAGTTCTCAAACTTAAAATTATCCATTCATATTCAAAAAGTTTTTTTTTGGTAAATAGTTCCATGTGAAAACGTTAAAATTAACTTTTTTTGATAAAATCATCAATTGCAGTTTATCTGCAAGGTAACTGCCAGTTACACTCTGGGTTTTCTTATGACAAAAAATCCTTGGTTAGTGTTTAGGTTGAAAAACAAACATTCAAAACTAAATTTTTTCATTTTCATTTATGGAAAAAATGTTTATCATACAATTTCATAGTATGGAAAAAATGCTTATCATACAATTTCATATACTGGAAAAAATGCTTATTTTACTATTTTTATCCTTGTTTTTGCTCTATGAAATTGTATGAAAGAGTATGATAAGCAGTTTTTCATACATGAAAATTGTATGACAAGCTTTTTTTTTGTCAACCCGTGAAGCTTTTAGATTTGTCACTAGATTATAGTGACCTACATACACCATATTGTGCGCTTATCAGTGCATAGTTTAGCTTCGTAATAGTTACTTTTGTTATCATGATTTTTGTTATTATGATTATATTAGTTGAAAAATTATATTTTCATATCTAGTAATTTTATACACTCACAGCCCATTAATCGTACAATCATACCAAAAAACTTTCCCTCTTTATTCGGTTTCGAAGTCAAATTTGAAAATTCTTCTCGTGTCAGGAAAAACTATGTGATTATTTGCATTCTGTACAACAATTTTTCACATTAATTTCAGTCTCAAGAAAAGAACACTTTTTGCGGAAAAAACTAAATCTAACTATCTTCTTAGAAAATTAAGTGGCAATCAGATACCCAACAAAAGCCTCAAACCTGGATAGAAAAATTATTTCGATTATGATTTATATGTACAGAAACTGTCTCTTTTTGTTTCAGATTAGAAACAAAGCAGCTCGTGTATCAGGAGCAGGACCTGAACTTTTTGACTGAATTATAATTGGTATTTTTTTGACATATTATAACTTTTGGACCGCCATTGTCAAATGTTTAGTCTTAAAGTTTGAGTAGTAAGAACAAATCGAGTAGTTTGACTAATTTTTGTTCCGACTTTCGATTCGAAAGTAACGGAATATTTGTGCTCGGGGTGGGTTTTTTTTTCAGACAAATTTCGACTTTTTAACTAGCCATTTTTGACGGAACTTTTTTAATATCACTCGAAAACTATTGTTGTCCTGAGCTTAAATTTGAAAAGATATTTCAGCTGTGATCATTTTTCGTAAAGTTATGAGGGTTTAAAGATTGCCATTTTGGCCATTTTGACCAATTTGGGACAAATAACGCGCGATATAATTCGCGCTTTCAACGGGTAAGCGGAGATTTAATCGGTCTTAGAAATTGTTCCAAATTGGTTAAACGAAGCTTATTTGCCATAATTGAATTGTTACAAGGAGTTAAATCTTCAATATTCAGAAAAAAATATTTTCATATTATTTTATTTTTGTTTATTTTTTATGTTGTTTATGTTATTACTGCTCCATAAACGTTAAAAGGCAGTCGGAACTTTCAGGGGTTCGCTCTGATACGAGCAATCTTGTTTTCTTTCAGTTTCATATCCGTACAATTTTTGAACGCGCAAAACTGTTTTTTTTGCGAAGCTCCTAAGCGAGTAATAAACAAGCTGTTGATGCAAGCTCAACGCGCAGAATACACACTGCTTAGCTTGCCCTCTTGTAGAGACGTTGAACCCACGTTCAATCCCCATTCTACAAATTGTTTTGAGATACTGATCTGAATAAAAAACGACCGTTGCAAATTTTTCTGCAATCGTCGTAGCAACACACAGTTCCGAGATATATCTAAATGATTTGCAAATGGCTTTTCTTTTGAAGCTAGCAAGTGTTAGTTTTCTTTATATTGCGTCCAATTAGGAATTCTAGCGTCGTGGTTAGAAGGATTCACTGAAAAATATTAGATTGGCAAATATTAGACTGGAAACAAAACTAGTATAAAAAATTCAAATAGGTTATAAGGTGTTCTTAAAAACTTCCATGTTTTTTGAAATATTTCATAAAGTTTTTCTATCCTGCTACTTTTGTTAGACAATCAGCTTTTTTTGTCAGACACAAAAACTTAAAGTTCAACTGATTGTGAAAGAAGTCAAAGAAAACTGAATGCGTTTGAGAAAACTTGGAAAAACCCTAGAGACACTTGCACTTTTTTAACAGTAATAATTATAATGCTTTCAAATCGATTGAAGCAAAAGAAAAAACGTTTAAAGATTTTATTACTTTTTGTAAAAGCCTGCTGAAACCAATTGTGAAACAAAAATTTGCAGATGGTGGTTTATATCTAATGAAAAAGAATCAAATTTGTAAGCTGAAACTGGAAAAAAATTAAATATCAGAAATTAAATTGAACTATTTTTTTCTACACATGCCAGCTATCCAACTCCTTTTTAAAGTTCAACTGAATTTTTATATCTTGCCGACTTGTTTCAGTGTTTTTTAAATTTTGTTCATATTTTGACAATTTGTGTTTGTCAATACATGAGCAATTTTTAAAAAACACCGAAGAAACTCTACAAAATATAAAAATTCGGTTGAACTGTAAAAAGCTGTTTAATAGCTGGAATGGGTAATGAATAAATTCTTCAGCCTAATTTCTGATATTAAATGCTTTTTTTTCTTGGTTGAGCTTACTTATTTGAATGTTTTTCTTAAACCCCCATCGGCACTTTTTTGTTGAAAAATTTCTGTTCACATTGTCCGATTCTTAAAAACGTTGACATGCGAACTAATCAAACCATGTCAAAAATTTTGTCTCTACAATAAATATTTTAAAATCCCTCGTTACACCCGGGTCGAGGTCCTCGACTTAAGAAAAGACGTGCGCGACCCAAACTTGGCAATTCCAGACCGGCGCGACTTCATATTGAAATTTCAGACCGGCGCGACCGAAACTTGGCAATTGAAGACCGGCGCGGCTGAAAAAAAACCACTACGACCGGTGCGACTCAAAACACCGTCGGAACCAGCGAAAAACGTCGAAAACATCTTAAGTCGCGCCGCTTCAGTCCTTGTTTAAGTCGCGCCTTTAAGGTCTTTTCTTAAGTCACGCCGCTCAAGTCTTTTCTTAAGTCTTGCCGTCGGTCTTATCTCAAGTTGCGCCGCTTAAGTCTTTTCTTAAGTCGCACCGTCAGTTTTTTCTTAAGTCGCGCCGCTCAAGTCTTTTCTTAAGTCGTGCCACGTAAACCTTTTCTTAAGTCGCGCCGCTTAAGTCGTTTCTTAAGTCGCGCGCTTAAGTCTTTTCTTAAATCGCGTCGCTCAAGTCTTTTCTTAAGTCTTGCCGTCGGTCTTATCTCAAGTTGCGCCGCTTAAGTCTTTTCTTAAGTCGCACCGTCAGTCTTTTTTTAAGTCGCGCCGCTCAAGTCTTTTCTTAAGTCGTGCCACGTAAATCTTTTCTTAAGTCGCGCCGCTTAAGTCGTTTCTTAAGTCGCGCCTTTAAGGTTTTTTCTTAAGTCACGCCGCTCAAGTCTTTTCTTAAGTCTTGCCGTCGGTCTTATCTCAATTTGCGCCGCTTAAGTCTTTTCTTAAGTCGCACCGTCAGTCTTTTCTTAAGTCGCGCCGCTCAAGTCTTTTCTTAAGTCGTGCCACGTAAATCTTTTCTTAAGTCGCGCCGCTTAAGTCGTTTCTTAAGTCGCGCGCTTAAGTCTTTTCTTAAATCGCGTCGCTTAAATTTTTTCTTGAGTCGCGCGGCTTAAGTCTTTTATTAAATTGCGCAGCTAAAGTCTTTTCTCAAGTCGCGCCACTTAAATCTTGTCTTAAGTCGCGCCGTTGAAGTCTTTTCTCATGTCGCGCCGCTTAAATCGCGCGACTTAAGAAAAGACTAACGCAGCGCGGCGCGAATTAAGAAAAGACTTAAGCTGCGCGGTGTGACTTAACAAAAAAACTTAAGCGGCGCGGTGCGACTTAAGAAAAAACGTAACTGGCGCGGCGCGACTTTTGAAAAGACTTAAGCGACGCGGCGCCACTTAAGAAAAGACAGACGGCGCGACTTAAGCACGCGGCGCGATTGCGAATACAGTATGCGGCTTGACTTACAAAGTATTTTCTTAAGTCGCGGACCTCAACCCGGGCACCATAAAGTTGATGCTTATGCGAGGTGGGGGAAGGAAAAAGAGAAATTTTTTTAGGAAAATTCAGGTGTCCTCTAGCTGATATCCTGTACTCCACTATCTCCATGTACCCACCGGCGGGTTCGTCGATCGAGACGGTATCCGATACTGTCAATCGGTTGTATTCTACCGGGGTCAGGTGTCCTATGACGCGTTCCTTTCCGTGATTCATGCAAGATGGTCTAAAATCCCGTAGAGTACTTTCACCAACCACTACTTTATCGACTTTTTTCTCTATTAATAATTGATTTTTGCCCAATATCTGATTCACATTGATAGTTTTTTAATATTTTTTTTGCATTTTTTGAGCTCAAAATCTGATTTACTTTGACCAATTTCTTCATTCGTTTCATAGTTTTTCCGACGATCCGATTTTCAGTGTTGATTTTCTATGACTTCGTTGCATATTTTTGAGCTCAAAATCTGGTTTGTTTTGACAGTTTTCTTGATTTGTTACATATGTTAATGCACATAATCTGATATACAACGATGATTTTCCAGACTTTCGTTGCATATTTTTGAGCTCAGATTTCCGTTGCAATTTTTTGAGCTCAAAATCTGGTATATATTAACAATTTTTTAAATTCTTCAATTCTGAAACATCTGGCACGTGTGTTTTTATTTAAAAAATCAATAATAAAATATTTCTATTAGTTTTCTAAATAGCATGGTTTTTCTGCCTTGTTAGCAAAAAATAGATTTTAGTGTGTCTGAAAATCCATCGAAATCGATTTAAAATTTTCAAAAGGATTGATTTAAATCTATTTAAATTCCATTTAAGTGCGTAAAATGTACAATTTAAATTGACCGGAAACTATTTCTGTCAGTGCGGGAATGCTTTCGACATTGTCTTGGATTGCATCGTGTGAAAACATTTGTTTTTATGGAAACAGAAACGTTCAAAAAATTTGTAATGAGGGCTTATTAAACGATACCTTGGCTCTTTTTCCTCCCCCCCCCCACCTCACTCAAACATGAATTTTATGGTCTAACGAGCGGTCTTACAAGGTTAATTATGTAGACCAAATATGTTCCTCTTGGCCTAATTAGTCAACTGCATGCCAACTTTCATGACAACCGGACAAAGTGAACAGTAACTTCAAATATAAAAATTTGCAGGTAGGGGAAAAGGAAAAAGAGCCGAAACCTTTTGAGTTACTAAATGAATTGTTTTAGATCTTGTGACAGGTGAAGATATCAGTGAGCCCGAGACTAATCCACCAGAAGAAGAAGCGCCGAATGAAGAAGTGACGATCGATGCAAGACCTCCCGTTGACAGCATCGACCTGGTCTTTCAAGGTTATTTTTCCTTGAGCTCAAATAAAGATATGCAGTCTGTATAACAAACTCTTCCTCGTAAAGATTTTTTTCTCATAACAAATGAAAGTTTTTACTCATTTTAAATGAAAGAAATTTAGATATCGCGCAAATGCGGTTATTTCGCCGATTTTACCGCCAATTTTTGTTTTGCTAGAAGAGTTTGTTTTTTAATTTGGCCGTTTGTCCAATTCGATCGCTAGAAAACAAACTCAAACAAAACTGCTCGTATCAAGGCGAAGCCCTGAATGTTCCGACTGCATTTTAAACTTTTTTGAGCAGCAGTAATACATAAAAAAAAATAAATGAAATAAAATAAAATAAAAAATTTTTTTTTCTAAAATTTGAGTTTTTTTAGTGAAAATCATCCCCCCACACGCCATATAAAGTACAAAAAGATAGATTTCGTTCCTTGCAACAAATCAATTATGACAAATAAGATTCGTTCAACTATTTGGAACGATTTATAAGACGGATTAAATCTCCGCTTACGCGTTAATAGCGCGAATTATATTGCGCGTTTATTGTCCCAAATTGGTCAAAATGGCCAAAATGGCAATTTTTAAACCCTCATAACTCTACGAAAAATGATCACAGGTAAAATATCTTTTTAAATTTAAGCTCAAGACAACAATACCTTTTGAATGATATAAAAAATTCCGTCAAAAATGGCTAGTTAAAAAGTCGAAATATGTCTGAAGAAAAAAAACCCACCCCGAGCACAAATATTCCGTTACTTTCGTATCGAAAGTCGGAACAATTACAAAAATCAAGGGCAATGCTAGTCGGTCCATTTTTAGTAAAAGTACTGAAGTGAATGCAATTGTAACAAGACTGCTCGTATCAGGGCGAAGCTGTCTTTATTACATTTTATTATGTTTAATAAAATGTAATAAAATTGAAAAAAATTTCTAAAATTTGAATTTTTTTATGAAAATCATCCCCCACACGCCATATAAAGTTTAAAAAGATAGATTTCGCTCCTTGTAACAAATTAATTATGGCAAATAAGCTTCTTCCAACTAATTTGGAACGATTTCTAAGACGGATTAAATCTCCGCTTACGCGTTAATAGCGCGAATTATATCGCCCGTTAATTGTCCCAAATTGGTCAAAATGGCAATCTTTAAACCCTCATAACTTCACGAAAAATGATCACAGGTGAAATATCTTTTCAAATATAAGCTCAGGACAACAATAGTTTTCGAATGATATAAAAAAATTCTGTCAAAAATGGCTAGTTAAAAAATCGAAATTTGTCTGAAGAAAAAAAAACCCACCCGAGCACAAATATTCCGTTACTTTCGTATCGAAAGTCGGAACAACAAGACTGCTCGTATCAGGGCGAATCCCTGAATGCTCCGACTGCCTTTTAGGGTTATGGAGCTGCAGTAATAACATAAAAAATTAAATGAAATAAAATAAAACGAATTTTTTTTCTCCAAAATTTGAAATTTTTTATCACAAATCATCCCCCACACGCCATTTAAAGTACAAAAGGATAAATTTCGCTCCTTGTAACAAATCAATTATGGCAAATAAGCTTCGTTCAACCAATTTGGAACGATTTATAAGACGGATTAAATCTCCACTTACGCGTTAATAGCGCGAATTATATCGCGCATTAGTTGTCCCAATTTGATCATAATGGCCAAAATGACATTCTTTAAACCCTCATAACTTTACAAAGAATAATCACAGATGAAATATCTTTTCAAATTTAAGCTCAGGACAACAATGGCTTTCGAATGATGTGAAAAAATTTCGTCAAAAAAGGCTAGTTAAAAAGTCGAAATTTATCTGAAGAAAAAAAAACCCACCCCGAGCACAAATATTCCGTCACTTTCGTATCGAAAGTCGGAACAATAATGAACTTCTGCGAGAACAACATCAAGCTTTGAAAAAGTAAAAACAGAAATATAAAGTGTAAAATCAATTTTTTTAAGCCAAAATTTCAACTGTCAGCCAGTTTAGTTTAAAAAAAAGTTGTCAAAATTTAGCGCATCTGAATAAATTAGAGTATAGGTTAATTTGATGCCGCAAAAAATTTACATTTTTTTTGCAATATACAGAAAATTTCGAAAATCGCTGATGTTTTACAACTAATGGATAGAAGGGATAAAGTAACGCTGATGTTTTACACCTAATGGATAGAAGGGATAAAGTGACGCTGATAAGAGACTGAATCAGCCATTGCAAATACTGATTTTTCAATGAAATGGGTATAATTATCACTGAGAGCTCAGCATGGGTATAGCGTATTTCGCCTATCAATCATTTGCCAGTCTTGCCAAGTCTGCAATCGAACTTGGATAACCATGGTACTAAAAAGAAATGACAGCAATTCCAAGTTTTTCAAACGCAATGTAAGAGCAAAATCTTGCTTTTGTCATATCCAAGGTCCTAAGATCAGGGACAGATTTAGGGGGGGGGGGGGGGGCGCCCTCTTTGGTATTTTTTAAGAAATCCATTTTTGGCCGATCGACCCTAAAATTTTTCTAAAGGCGCCTTTGGCGCCAATATATACTAAGTTTGAGGAGGAGCGCAGGCCAAAAAACGCAATCTTTTGTTAAAGTTTTTCAAAAAAAGCCCAAAAACGGCACAGAAATTTTCAAAAACAGCGTCTTTTTAGTGCTTTGGGAGAGCTCGGAAAAATCAATTTGGTCGATCTAAAAAAAAATTCATCAAAATTTTTGATTTTTTTTGAAAATCAGTCCCTCCTCCTCCTCCCCCCCTCGAGAAAATCCTAGATCCGTCCCTGCCTAAGATTGAGCTTGATTATGTAGTTTTTGCTTGATTTGAGTGGATTCTCAAAAAATTTAATCTATAAATCTTTAGTCGAGCTTACATTAGAGCTCTGACAATTTTTTGTTCTGCGTAGCGCTCAAAAGCAACCTTTGTAAGTGAGGTTTAATTCAAAGGTTTTTAGAAAATCCTGAATACACGGTCTTAACATGTATCTATTATCAATTTTTTCAAAATTCACTCGTACTGGATGTAACGTTATTCCTTACTTAAAAACATCAAATCCCAAGTAAAAATAGCGGAAAAAACTATTCGCTAATTTTGATTTTTTCTTTTTTTTGGAAGTGTTCCTTGATGATAATGATACAATCGTTTGCTAATCTGAAAAACTGCAAATTTTTATTTTTTAATCTAGGTTTTTTGATTTTCTCAAAAGTTTTACCCGTCCATGACAAACACCGAGGTAGTCATTCAAAACTAGCTTAATCACTAGCATTAACAAAGGCCTGTAATAAAATGAAGCCTGCGATAAATTAAAGGAAATTGAAGCCATAGATTTACCTTAAGCTTCATATTGATCATTAAACGAACTCATTTTAAATCGTGACAGAACAATTTACTGTGGTTCACAGAAATGACTCGCAAAAAATTTGAAAATCAGCGCCGATTCATCGATGCTTCACACCTTATCATGATTGAGTTATGTATAGGTTACTGTACTCATAGATTAATTTTAGATAAGGTACACCGTCTGCTCGTCACGCTATCTTATTTTCGGCCGGATAGATTCGTGCAACTTCGTAGTCTAATACCGATCTTAATCTTAATCTTATATCTCCTAGTCTCAATGGATCTAGTGTACACAATTTTATGCGAGTTTGTTCCAGAAAGAGAACAACTTTAATCTAAGTTTAATTCAAATTGCTTTGGTGTTGAAACTACCAGTAGTTTCAACACTTTACACATAAATATGTTGTTAGTTTTACGGAATATGATTGGTTAGTATTTGATATTTTATATAGATAAAATATCATAATATTAACCAATTATAAATACTAGTTTAGATATGGTTTCACCAATCCGGGGCTTAGAGAATTTTAGTTTTTGTTCTCTAATATTCATCTGCGATGGAGGATGGATGAAGTTCGTTTGTATGTCGCGAGCATCATTTCTGTTCCGTTCTTCCAGAGAATATCAGTTTGTCATTCAACAATGACTGTGACCGCCACTGTTGCTGTTGTTTCTGGAAGTCAATCTGATTCCAAATTGGTTTGTTTCGGTCGTTTGTTCTTGTTTTGTAGAGAACTTGTGTTTCGGTCTCGTTTGTGAGTGGCGTGAAGTTTGAGCTTGGATGCAATGCCTGGTGACTTGGATCTGTACGTATATTTGAACATCAAGATGGCCATTGTTCTGTTGCAATGGATTTCCTTTTCTGCGATGCCAAATCGTATTCTAAATCCATTGAGTGTAGTAACTGTAGGCAGCATGTTAGGTGGGTTTCGCCATTCCGTAGTTGGAGTGTGATTGGGTTGTCTTGGGGCTGTTTGTAATCTATATACTGCATTATACCATTTACATTTACAAATCTTTGTTAATCCTATTTTTTGATTATGGTTTTTATATTAGTTTTTATTGCAAAAGCGTTATTATTTAGTTCGGTTATTTTTAAGAGCTACTCACACTTGAGTAACTCTCGTAAAAAATAGTGTCGTGTGCGTCACAAAGCGTGGATGTAGCACGGTGGGTGAGGCCGGCTATAGATAATGCTCAGGACGTCCTCTTCTGGTGGGTTAGGCGAGAAGTGAGGGTATAATTTCGTGATCTCTTAGTTCAACTTTTCATGCCATTTCTTATTACTAGTGTTTTCTTTCGTTGTCTTAGTTTTGTCTTCTGTTCAAAAATTAAGTTGTTTGTTTTGGTTTTGTCTTTCGACTTTGGTGTTTTGTTCTTTTATGTTTAGACTCAAAAGTAGTCTTTAAAAGAATAATTTATCCGGTTCTAAGCTGGTGTTATTCCAGTTTGGATACCGTGGGTCTTCTTTTCTTAGTCATGCTGTTAGGTTGTGGTTTATGGTGTTTAGTAAGCTTGCGTTGGTTAGTTTGGATTATTATATAAATCCTTTCCAACCGGGTGAAAGGAAAATTTGAAACGTGTGAAATTTGTTAAAGTTGTTATCAGTGTAAGTTGAAACTCAAATTCATTTTTTTAAACAATTCTTTGTGCGCGAGCAGTGTGAG